CCCCGCCGGCTGCCCTGGGTGGGGCCCGGCCTCACCTTGAGCTGGTTGAACTTAAGCAGGTCACTGTCACAGCTGCCAGTGAAGGAGGACAGCAGACGGCGCTGCTCAGAACGCCGCTCCGAGCCTGCCCGAGTGGAGGCATGAGGCTGCGCCGGGATGCTCATGCCCTGCCGGGGACGACGGGCGACAGGTCAGGAGGGGCGTGGCTGTCCCGCGGTCGGGGGGAGCCGGCCCACTCACCGTGGTCCTGGGTACCCGTGTCCCTCTCGCATCCTTGGCGACACCCCCCACCAAGCCCTGGCCCCTGTCTTCCAGCTCCCTGCTCTGAGCTTGTCTGTGCCTGTCCCATCCGTACTTGTCACCTCTTCTCTTCCCTGCTCCTTCCTGTCAGAATCCAAACGTGCTCGACGTCCTCCAGGCAAAGCAAACAACACAACTTTCCCTTCACACTTGCCATCTTTCCCGTCTCAGCTGGAAGACTTGGAAATGCCTCCACTTTCAGGAGGGAAGATGGTGGGTGTCTCTCCACCCCGACCCCCGTGACTCTCACCTGGGTCAGCTCCTCCTTGCTGTGACCTTCCCTTAACATTTCCGTCCTGACGACCAGAAGTCCCCCTCCCTGGCTCTCTACTGGGCCCAAAAATCCAACTGCCTAACAGACCTTACTACCTGGATGTTCCACAAACCCCAAAACTCAAGCCTCCCACCTCAGAGCTTGGCATCCAGCTTCCTAGTTCCCCAAGCCAGACCCAGCAACGTCCCAGCCAGTTCCTTTGTCCCCTACAGACAATCTGGCCCCCAAGTCTGTCCTTTCAGCTTCCTAATATTCTACTGTTCCTGATAACTCTTTCAAACACAGCCAATTTTTTTCTCATGGCAAACGCAGTCAAACCTACCCACGTGTCTGGACTGGGAACTGCAGCAACTGTGCCCCAGTCTCCCCTCAGGACCCCGTGCAGTCAACTCTCCACACAGCAGCCAGCGTGAGCTTTGAAATTGGGCTGAGCCATGTCACCCTCACCCTCTCTCTGGAAACCCCCATGCAGCTTCCAGTCACACACAGAATACAAATCTAACCTCATCACCACAGCCTCCAGGGCCCTGACAACCAGTTCTGTCTCCGGCCTCAACTAATATTTCCTTCCCTTTCTCACACCACCCGAGATCCTCCCCACCTCAGGGCCTTTGCACACGCTGTTCACACTGAGCGTGACTTCCAGACTTAGGGAGTCCCTCTCCTGCTTTAACTTTTCTTTTTTTAAGTAGGCTCCACACCCAATACGAGGCTTGAACTCACGACCCCAAGGTAAAGAGTTGCATGCTCCACTGAACTAAACCAGCCAGGCACCCTTCCTGTTTTAACTTTTTATTGAAGCCTTTTTCTACTTCTCTGTGGTGTCTCCCAGTTATCCACATGGCTCATTTCTTTACTCTATTCAGACCTGGCTCAACTGTCACCTTCATTGACCCCTCTAACTCACCAAGCCCTAACCTCCTCTCCTGTTTACCCCACTTGAAAGTCCATGTTTACTTTATTTGTTCACTTATTTCCTACCTCCCTTCTGAAAGGTAAGTTCTACAAGGAAAAGGATTTTGTCTCGTTCACTCTGCTGTAGACCCAGAACGGTGCCTGGAACACAGCAGGCACTCAACAGACATTTGCCAAATTTAAAAAGGAAAGAACGAACCTTCTGGAAATGCAACTCCAACTCGGCTCACATCCCTGATGAAAACCTCGGAGGCTCCCACTTCCCACCCACGCCGCACTTTTTCCAACCTGAGCGCCCAGGTGAGTAACACCCTCTGCACCGGCCCCTCTGACTCCACAAGCCCCCATGCCGCCTGGCACCCCATCCAGGAGTCTGCCACTGCCAGGGGCAGAGGCAAGGGTAACTGACGGCAGTACCTGCGTGTCTGTCGGGGGCTCGTCGGTGCTGGCGCGGCTGCTGTTGAGGTATCTGAGCTTATCCTTCTTGTCGATGGTATAGAAGCCCTCGCTGCGGGCACAGCCTGTCACGTGCTCACGGATGCCATCGTCCCGTTTCTTTTTCTTAGCTGAAGAGAGGCTGGTGGGTGGGTGTGGGTTAAGGGCCACACGGACATTCTTGGAGAGCCCCTCCCAGTCCTTCCAGAGGCCAGCCTCCCTACCCTCAGGCTAACCTTCAGGATGCTCCACCCCCCACAGCTAAGCCACCTCCGTGAGGCTGCCCACTGGCTAACTCTCCTGACGCTCCGAACTCCGCCAGGGGTACCTAGTTGCATGGCCCTGGGTGTGTTTCTTAGCCACTTTCTGACTCAGTTTCCCCAGCAGCAACCTGGGGCAATAACTATGCCTCTGTGAATGACTGCACATGCTTAGGTGCTTAGCAGATTTCCTCAAACAGAGGAAGTGCTCAGTAAATTAGTTTGATATAACGGGGATGATGTCCGCTCCAACGGATAGTGCTGTCAAGAGCGGCTGGAGTAATAACCAACTATCAGGGTAGCACTGTGGTCTGGAGCCCAGATTCTGGAGGCAGATTTGCCTGGGTTCAACTCTCAGCTCTGCTACTTCATAGCTGTAGGACTTCGGGGAGGTCAGTTAACCTCTCTGAGCCTCAGTTTCTATAGAAATAAAATGGAAATAGCAGCCCCTACACCTCACTGGGCTGTTGGGAAGATTAAATGAGGTGATGAGAGGGGCTAGAGTGGGCCCCCGGTCCCTGCCACTGTGATGGTTGTACAATCGCGGTGCTACACTGGGCCCCGGGACCTGCTCACTCTGGGGGTGAGATGGGCCTGGCACAGAAGGTGGTGACTCCACATGGAGCCTGGCAGATGGCAGCCCAGACACGGCTTAGTAGGTGATGGGGATTTGTGCTGGTGCCTTCGTGGGTGTCCCGGGGGACAGGGCCCAGGGAGGTGGGCGAGAACCGCGCCCCGTCGGCTGGGATATAGGGATGGTAGACCCAGAGGGTGTCATTGAGCCAGTCCATGCCGTTGTCCTGCTGCAGCAGCCGCTCGTAGGTGACACACAGGAAGCGGATGTCCTCCTCATCGATGCCACCGTTCCAGATGTCATACAGGATGGTCATCTCCTCAAACTCCGACCGGGGCCGGAAGAGGGGTTGTGGTGGCGAGAGCTCGGGCGAGGCTGGGGCCACCAGGTCCTCATGACGCTTCTTAGGCGGCCGGCGCCAGGGCCCCCGAACCTTGGCCAGGTCCATGAACTCCTCAGTGACCTCATCACGCCCGCGGGGGCCCGGAGGGATAGCCTCGGAGGGCCACTGGTTCTCTAGCTCCTTAAAGGGCAGCTTGGTGGACTCAACAGGGGGTGGCGGTGGGGGCGGAGGAGGCTGGGGGGGCAGGGGCGGTGGGGGGGCTGGGATCCCCGCGTTCCGGAAGTCCAGGGTCACGGCCCGGGGGTCATGGGTGCTGGGAAAGACAGGGGTCTGTGGCTGGCCTGGCAGGAGCAGGAGGTCCCTGCCGAGGGTGGCCCCCCCCGGCGGCCGGACCAAGGGCCCATCCAAGGAGAGCACAGCTGGCGGGGATCGCCGGGGCCTGCCCGGCTTCCTCTTGATAGGGGGTGGGCACGGGGCCAGCGGCGCGGGCAACAGAGGTGGCAGCTGGGCAGGGGCCCGGGTCTGGGCCCGCAGGACAGGGACAGGCAATGCCAGGGGCAGAGGCAAGGGCAAGGGCAGGGGAAGAGGCAGGCCCGTCTCCAGGAGCACCGGGGAGGCCAGGGGGCCAGATCGCTCATCGCGCCGGCCAGCTGGGAGGGGACAGACAGGCAGGAGCAGGGGCCCACCAGGCTCGGGGAAGGTGGGTGTGAAGCTGAAGTCCCGACCAGGTGTCCTGGGGAGGCCCCCACTGCTTAAGCTCGGGGACTGGGATGGGTAGGAGAAGGGGCTGCCGGGCACCTGTGGGGAGCTCAGCGACAGGCCGCTGCTGCCCCCTGACAGTGGGGGCTCCCCACTCGGCGTGGCCGGCACCGTCTCTGTACTCTGTGACTTGGCCAGGCTGCCACAGAGGCCCGGAGTACGCGGGGGCTGCTCCTCTGGAGGGGGCTCCAGAGGGACGGGTGGGTGTGGGGGGTCTGGGGTCTCGGGCTCTGGTGGTGGGCTAGGCGGCCGGGGCGGTCGAGGGGGTGGTAATGGCGGCTGCAGGGACAAGGAGAGCAGCGTAGGGGGCTCCACTTCCAGGTCATCCTCTGCAAAGAGGTAGGCAAAACCAGACCATTACTATACGAGTCAAACATCTCGTGGTGTCCTATTTATGCTGCCCTACTATGTGCTTAATACCTGACCTCAGAGCCCTCAGAGCCCCCTGGAGTTCTGTGAGTATGGGGACTGTCCCCCTACAGCTAAACTACTCAAGCCTTCTCAGTGCTCAGCCCAGTGTCAGGCACACAGTAGGTGCTTGATAAATGATGGTGGAATAAACGCAAGACATAAGGAGACATGGTCGCTAGCCTTTGACATTATGTCCTTAGAATGGTGTCCTTGTGAACAGGAAATGTCCTGTGGACCAAGAAAACGAGCTCTGCTCTTGAATAAAATTCAACAAGTCCCGGGCGCCTGGGTGGCTCAGTTGGTTGGGCGACTGCCTTCGGCTCAGGTCATGAGACTGGAGTCCCGGGATCGAGTCCCACATCGGGCTCCCTGCTCGGCAGGGAGTCTGCTTCTCCCTCTGACCCTCCCCCCTCTCGTGCTCTCTCTCTCTCTCTCAAATAAATAAATAAAATCTTAAAAAAATAAAATAAAATAAAATTCAACAAGTCCCTTTTCTGCAGGACTTATCAGAGCCTTTCTCCTAGCATTTATCTCCACTGTCATATAATACATTTTTCTAGCTAATCTGCTGTCATTTATCACCCTGCCCTAGAATGTGAGCTCCATGAAGACGGATATTTTTGTCTGTTTGACCCCTGTTGTATTGCCAGCGCCTAAAACAGTACTGGGGATACAACACAGGCTTAATAAGTATCTATAACAATATTCAAAGACCTGCGGTTCTGTAGCCAAATTATATAGAATTAAAGAAAGTACAACAGGTTTTTTTCCTGAAGGACTGATCAGAGGTACGAACTAACCACACATGGCTATATAAATTTAAATTAAACTTAAACAACGTTACAAATTCAGTTCCACTTGCCACATTTCAAGTACTCTTAGCAACAGCGTGTCTAACGGCCATGGTACTGGACAGGGCAGAGAGAGAGGACATTTCTATCACTGGAGAAAGTCCCATCAGACAGTATGTTAGAGCCTTTAATATGCTCTGTGCAGTTCCATACAGTGGTGGAGGGGGCAGGGGTGTCCACGGCCCCTCTCACCTGGCACAGTGCCCCAAAACCTCCCCTACTTGCCTGTCACTAAAATGACCGTGCACACGGCTGCCCCCGCCGCCCAGCCTTCCTGGGAGCATCCCATAGGACTAATGTGCCAGGGGGGGAATTATTGGCGCTGAGGACTGGGGACAGCAGCAGTGCCCTGAGGGGACTATCCGGAGTTCTGGCTAGGTGCCAGGCTCCACGCTGGCACATTATGGCCCCTCGCCCTGTCCTTCCATGTGACCTCACGGGGGAGACACTATCCATTGATCCCATGTTACAGGTGAGGAAACCAGAGCTCGGGAAGGTTCAGCAATTTACCCAAAGGAGCCTGGGCTCATTCTGTCTGCGAGGACATCCTGCCTCCATCCCCACCACCCCGCTGGGGGCTGCAGGTGTTACCTGGGGTGCGCTCCGGGGACGGTGGGGGCCGGGCCTCCATCTCTCCGGCCGGGGGCTCTGGAGACCGCAACCTGGCCCCTTCCTGCTTCAGGCCCGGCTCCTCGGGGGGCTCCTTGCGGCTAGCCGGCTCCTCGGCACACACAGGCAAGGGGAGCTCTTCCGGCATGGGGGTCCGCTCCTCGGGGGCTTCATCCTCAGCCTCGATGTCCACCTCCTCTTCCATGACCGAGGACTCCGTCACAGGGGCCCCCGTGGCCACATCGTCCTCCAAGTCCTCGTCGGGAGCCGCAGGAGCCGTACTTTCATCTGCTGCTGCCTCTTCCTCTTCCTCCTCTTCCTCCTCCTCCTCCTCCTCCTCCTCCTCCTCCTCCTCCCTCACCAGCTCCTCTTCATCCTCTGAGGACGATGACGAGGACTCGGAGCTCGATTCGAACTCGGAAGACTCAGAGCTCTCGCTGGCGGACGCGGCTC